CACTGAAAACAGGTGAATGGATTGGAAGGCCACCGTTGACATTTATTGCCAGAAAAGCAGAGGAAAATTCGTTTTTCATGCCTTTCACGAGGTAGCGAAGGGTGATGACTCTGTAGGATTTTGAGTATGTAATGATGCCAAAGGATGAACATAATACCTTCACCTCTCTGAACAGAAGCAGATTTTGTGCTGCATGCAAAACAGCACCATCAATTGTCGTTCACCGTTCAGAGAATAGGCATATAACATAACTAATATCATATATAATTTCATAACAGTTTCATGGTTCAATGTAGTTTTCTTTTAGAGATGTTGGCTCTAAATTTCAGGTCTTTAGAATTTCCCTATTTAGACAGGAACAAGGAATTCACCTCGCATGCTTCAGTGCCCTCCACGAGACGAGATATTGCTCCATGAAGCAGAGGAGAAATTGCCAGAGAAGAGGTCGTTGTGCCTGATTAAATTTACTGAGAAAACCTTACGGAGCTGTCTCCTTCAACCCCTTTTGCCTGGGTAGAGAGGAAACGGACGTTCTGTCGAGTCAGAGTACATAACATGACTGAAGAATGACTAATCTACCATAGCAGTGACGGGTTTCTACCTAAGAGGATGGAAGCGCCCATTAGGAAGATACCGGATGAGGTGAGACGATGAAGTATCACAGAGATATAGAAGCTTGTGGCCATAAATTGTAGAGGAGTTAGTGAGAGTGAACATCGTTGACTGAGAAGAAAGATCAGCCAGTTGTTTTTAATATACTTTGGTGCGATCATCCGAGAAACGGGCAGCAAATCGTTAACGGATGGCATGAAGTTTTAATGTGATGATGCCTGAGGGTGCAAGACAGGGTCATACTGTAACTTACGATCTGCACAGATGCATCAGATAGCCGACTACGAATATGCGCAAGGCTTAGATATGAAATTAAGCAACTAAACACTCAATGAGCAGTTCAAGATGGCAGCTGCAAATTGGCATGTAGAAAAAGTGATGAAAAAAATTATTCATACTGCTGTGCAGAAATCAATCAGTCAATGTCTAACAGCTTATGATCCTGACTTTGCAGGACAAATTGAATTAACCATTATCAGGAAATGCACAGTTTGTTTCAAAATATATGTAGTTCGGCTTTCATGCATATTGAACATTAGTGAGGGTTCATATGGTTCTAACAATAGTTTTCTGACAACCCGGATCTATCAGAACTTTCGACGGAAACGTCACGGCTCGAAGCAATTACGGTATAGTTTGAATCCAGCCGTCAGGTCTCTCTGTAGCAATTTCTTTTGCCGGCAAGCAGCGCTTAAGGTCTTTACCTGTAGCGAATGACTCAGGTCATCTAGCAACGAAGCATTAAAGCGACACTTGTCAAATCTACTCGAATTTACTGAACTACAATCCATTCCGTTCGAGTTTATAGTCAGAATATCTGTCATTCAGATAGATTCGTTTGAAAAACTTAAGAGACTCAGAGCTCGGTCAGGGAGCAGAGCTTTCTGAGGCTGAAACCGAAGAGAATACTCAAATGACATTTCGAGGTGGAACAAATTTGTACTTTGTCAGAAGCCAAAAAATACATATGTTGAGTTGCGCAGGACTTTATCCACCCCATGGCTAGTGTCTGGCGCTTAATTGGACCGTTTATTAATTAACGAGCGATTCATAAGTGCCATTATGAGCAAAAACGTCCATGTGTTTTCCGTGTAACCACTTTAAAGCATTCAAAGTCCGGTTTTAATCTCAAAGCCATGAACAACCGGTCCAGGCCTTGGTTTCAACATTCTAAGGTGTACTCAAAGGCTGTCTGATTGATGACGCCGATGCTATCCGCAAGAGCTCAAGGAGCTAGAAAATGACAGGCTAAAATCACTGCGTGAGTCCAGTTATATTCCATCTCGTCTTGTAGCATGAGACAGTTTTTCGAACCGTTAATCCGGTTCATGAGCTGATTGATACATGACTCTATATTTGAGTGATTATGATAAGCCTTTCCATTATAATTTTTGATATTCTTCGATAGTCCTTCTTCGTAAATAGGTGGGACCACCAATGCCTAGTCTCGAGGCCCCATTTTCGTGTCCCTCATGTGATTTGTGACCGTTTCCGTCTCTTTCATGTAGCTCATCGTCCTAACTGAATTGAGAACTTCCAATTACCACCCAAAGTGCATCCCCTCAGGTATCAATCGATCACCGCTGTAGTCCATCTGGCATCCTTCATTCTTGCGATTTCTTGTTATATTAATAATCAGTAATTACGATGCATTCAGAAAAGTTGCGCCGTACCTTGCTTCTAATGTTTCATGCGAATATTGAAGCAGACTAATGTTTCGTGGATTTGAGCACCTGTCATCCATGCATATCCTTGCATGTCTGTTCGAACTATGAACCACTTGAGCATAACGAACATACATTTGGTTCGAGGCAACATTGCGATGATGAAGTGTATCCTTGGAATGCTTGTTCTCAGACAGCATGGAGTCTTGGTCTTCTTAAGTGCCCCCCCCCAAATGCCTTTCCCCTGCATCTCTTTGTTTCTAAGACAGAAATGGCAGTGCGACTGTCCTGAAGACGTAGTTAATGTCTTATACGATTCATTCTTAATGGCAGCATAGATGAAAATCAGTTCTGTTTGGTCTTGCACCTTAATCTACAGTACAAACAATTAAAAATGGCAGATCGTTTTATATTAGTCGTGTTACTAAGATGCCTAGTTTATTTTTTTAATGTTGTTATATATTGATAATAACAAGGACAGTAAGCTTCATAGGTGTTAATTTAACATCTGTTAGGAACACAAGCATAACCGCCTCGGATGCAAAGTTTTTTTGACAACTGGCATTCGCTTAGTCAACTAATAAACCCTAAAGATTTCTACTCTTTGGTATCTCAGCCATGAGCCGGAGAGTTGCACAGAACCAAAAAAAGTGTCCGAGTCAGCGTTCAGGTCAAAAGCTGAATTTTGCAGATTAAATGAGATAAAATATAACTCCAATATTCAGCGGTAATTACTTAATAACAGTTTTTTTAACTCAACCAGTAATCATAATATTTAAATTTCTGATACCGCATTTATAAGGTAAAAATGCATCGCACCGTTGCATCAGATCACTAAAAGGACTGTTTATACAGACCAGGGCTCCATTATACTTGAGTTACCTACAATTCATTGGATGCAACATCTCATTTCTGAGTTGGGCTGAAAAAAAGACGCGTTCTACCATAAAATAATTCTGAAACCATCCATAGGCAAATACATAGATAGAATATAAACCCATGGCTACTTCATTTTAACTTTCAATTCCGTTGGAAATCATAACATTTCTATTTCTACTACTGAATTTACTCGGTGTAAAGTATCTCCCTTTGATTTATCCTAATTCGTTCTAATTGTTCAGAGAAACATTAAACCAGGCCATGGTTCCAAGGTATTTGAGCAGCGTCACTGCGGCGGATGCAAGACCACGTTTCTGAGTTGAACCTAACAAGAGCCTGTTCTACTGTTAGCAGGATGATTCTGATAAAATTAAAAAATGGCAATTTCTTGCAATTTCCTCGCACTGTCTTTTCGTTCGATCACAAATGTATGTTAATCCATAAATCATAATAAAATACCTGGTATTTCTCTGCCAAAATGGCTTGCTTTAATGACTGACTTGTTTCAATTTCTTTTTTATACAGTAGTCTGGAACAAGAACTACTAATCAACTTCCATTTTTAATCTGTTTGCGCGATATAATGTTTGAAGTGCATTGGTAACACATAGCGTTTAATTTTAGGCCATGGGTGTTGCCCAATCGGATTCGCAGAACTCCGATGTGTTCAGTAAGTGGCTGCCACGAGGACATATCGTGCTAACGGGCGACAATCACAGCCTCTCGTCGTTCTTGATCACTGATTTTCAGGCGAACCTGAGGTTCAATGTGGATCCGATTCTATTACCGTAGGATTCAACACCAGGAAGTCGTTCGAAGGCCATCTCTACGTAAAGAACAACTTCCATAATAGGCAATGTCGCACTGGAGCCGCCCAGAATAGAAGGCAAAATGTGTCCATCACTGTCAAGTTTAATGAATGCGGTCTGGAGCGCCGAAAATCGGTAAGCAGCTGCTCTAACGAAGGATCGTCAGATTATCGATTATAAATTTTCATAATCATCGATCAGTTTCGAACATATCTTTATAACGAAACTGGCACAACAAGAAAACAGATGTCTCCCTTAAGGCTGCTTGCTTGAAGGTACCCATTGAGAAATGCTAGT